GGCCTACAACAGATCAGTCCTGTGTGGGATGATGGGAAATGGCGCCTCCTACCACTGGTGGCTCCCATCCAACTCCAGGAAGTTTGGCTGGAGGAATGAGGTCAGAGAATAAGGAGGTTTAAGGGATCCTAATTTGGGAAACATTCAGGTTCCAGAACCACAGGCAGGGAAGAGAGAAGGTGCTGCTATGAAGATTAATTTTTATTCATAAAAGCTTATCTGAAAACACATTAGTAGACTCTGTTCATCTACCCAGTAGAATATTACAGATACTGAAATGATTGCTGTGAAGTTCTAAATATGTGGAAAGTGCTTATAAATGAGACTACAAAGCAGAATACAAATTTTAAAAGCAGGAACATAAAATTAAAACAGGAAAGTTAAAAGTCGGTAGAACCCTGAAAGGCAATGCACCAAAATGCTTATACTAGTTATCCTTAGATGGTGGGAGTATGGGGCCTATGGGTGAATTTTTTTTTCTTATAAATTTTAAAAGATGAACATTTTTTTTTTTTAAGATGAACATTTTTTGAATGGAGGAAAAACTTTAATCCTACTCCTTCCCTCGCTAAATTTTAAGTCTGTGAGACCCATATGGATGGCATCAACCCAAACATGGGAGTCCAGAAGCACTATTGCCCCACTGTGTGAACCTGAGGCCATTTCTCTGAACTCGGTCCCTTGCCTGAAACCTGGGGATGACTCCTTGGTGCTGATGATGGGAATAAATTAACAACAACAAAAAAAGAGGAACACAAGAAATCGCTCAGGTCTATGCCTGGCACACAGTGGGCGCCGCTGTTTTTCAACGGCCTCTAGTGCCCCCTCCACACCCCGAGTCCTGTGCCCACCTTGTTGGTGTTGACACCGTCCTGCCTTGCGCCCCCGATCACGAAGAGTTGGCCTGCGCAGGGTGCCACTGCCGCAGAGCTCACGGCCTCCGGTAGGGGCGCAGTGACAGCCCATGTGTTGGAGAAGGGGTCATAGCACTCCACACTGCTCAGGCGCCTCAGGCCATCGAAGCCGCCCACCGCGAACAGCTGCGGGTAAGGACATAAGCAGGAGCGCTGGGAATCAGGGCCATAGGCAACTCCTTGTCCCTTTGCTTCAGTCTGCAAGCAGAGAAACTATCTCTATGCTACCTTCTGAACCAAACCCACCCTGGGAGCATCCCTGGGAGCATCCCTGGGAGCATCCCTGGGAGCATCCCTGGGAGCATCCCAGCATTGTCTCCACCCTGTTATAGAACCTCCCGCAGCTGCTTCCTTTGCTTAGCCAGGGATGGAGGCTGGTCTCTAAAATGGGTACTGAATGTGGATTAAATCTGCAAATACCCAGCACCAAACTGATGGTTACTAATAGCAAGTAGTTTTTATTAAGTGTTTACCACCCCACTTAATTGATACTAAGGAATACTTTGCGTTGCTGAATTCGGGATATAGTTCACAAAGATAATCACTTTATGCAAATCACTTAGGGCAAAATTATTTGTTATTATTTGTTATTGGGATATTAACAAATAACAAATAACAAAATTGTTATTGGGATATAGTTCACAAAGATAATCACTTTGTGCAAATCACTTAGGGCAAAATTATTTGTCCTAAATTGCACTCAGGATTCAAACCCAGACTATTTGGCCCCAGAGCCCACACCCTTAACCATTTGTAGGCTGTACTAGGCCATTATAGTAATCGCTATTATTGTTAGCATTACATCATCTTGGGAAAGTCCTTTCCCTCTTTTTGGGCCTCAGACCCCTTCTTACAAAGACAGGGTCTTAGAGGGACTTCCCTCAGGACAGATCCGCCACAGAGCTGTGCCTGGGGTCCTGGGCAATGGCTGTAGAGTGTACCTACCTGGCCCTGCACTGCCACCATCTTGTGTCTCCACCTGCCCTGGTGCAGTGAGGCTACCTTGATCCAGGTGTGCAGATGGGAGCTAAACATCCATACGTCCCTGCTGTTGATGTGGCCTCCTAGAAAGACAGAGAAGTAGCTATTGGCCCCAGTCCCTCTTGCTATCACCAGCACACCCAAAGAAGCCAGAAACACAGGTCCCAAATCCTAAAGTGGGGTTAAGAACTTTTCCCTGGGCTGATGTAAGACTCTGGACCTGTGACACAGCCACTGCTTTGAATGAGAGGAAAAAGGGTCTGAGTTAGGGGGTTTGAGGGGCAGGGCTGACAGTTTTAGGAAGGAGCTAATATTTGCTGGGTGTTTTGCAGTGTGGTGCCAGTTCTGTGCTCAGGGAAAGGTATCTGTGCTGTGGGGAGTCTACTATGATACAGATAAGTGCAAAAGGTTCCCAAAACAAGCATGAGGAATGTTCTGGAATTAAGGGAAAGCAAAGCCATCATCTGCACAGGGATGGGGAGAGACACAGGGTGACCAGTAATCCTGCCCTTCTTCCACATTCATGAAGTATTCCTTGCCCACCCCTTCATGAAGTATTTGGTTTATTACTGCCAGGTGTGGAGGTGCACACCTGTAATTCCAGCACTCGAGGCTGAGGCAGGAGGATCACTGCAAGGTCGAGGCCATGCTGAACTACATAGCGAGACCCTGTCTCAAAAATAAAAAAATTTAAAAAACAATTTTTAAAAAATGAAGTACTGGGATCACTACACCCAGGTTTCACATAGGAAACCCGAGACGATTAATGACCTCCTGAAGATCACATGGCCTTCTGTCAGACCAAAGATAAGAATCTTACTCCCTGAAGTTCAATATTGGTCACGCCTAAGGTCACAACATACCACACCCATGACTGGCTCTGCAGGACTACCGACCACTTCAGCCAATAACTGTAGGTTCCCAGAAGTTCCACCCCATCTCCTGATTGGAGGGAACATTAAATAGTGCGGAGGGCGTGGCAGTAACGAGCCAATCCCATGGGGCTCCTGCTGCAGCCCCACTCTCACCGGAAACATAGATGTCATTGCGAAGAGCACAGGCAGCGAACTCCGAGCGTGTGTAACCAGGCAGGCTGGGCAGAGAGGTCCAGCGCTGGCTCTCTGGGTGGTAGGCATCGGCAAAAGGCAGCTTCAAGAGACCTTTGCGGTCACAGCCGCCGATGACCACGATCACTTCAGCAAGATCCATGAATCTGATGTAGGTGAAAAAAATTAAACCCAATGCCCACTGATTCGCACCCTGACTGTGGCCCTTTCACACTCTTGCTGACTACACTATACAGTCTTGACCTCCCACACCTGCCCAGCCACCCCCAACTCTGCCACTTCCAACCCTCCTCTGGTTACTTGTAAGAAGGTCACTAATTATTACTCCATTCTATGTACCTCTAACTTACAGAAAAAAAAAAATTTTGAAAAGCTCTTGCGTAGAAAAATCACCTAGTTTAATCCTTATGAGCGTTCTATTAGGTAGGTTGTTATCAACCCTTTACACGGGTGAAAACTGAGGCTTCCAGATTACGGCTTGCTCCACATCATATCCAAGATTTTTTCCCCTTGTGGTCCTCATGAGCAAGCCTTCTATCACTAAGCTATAGAGGGAGTGGTGGGCCCCCACTTCCCTCTTGTTTTTCATTTTCCCTTTGGGATAGGTCCTGCTAAATCAGCCTGGTTGCCTGTAACTTTTATCCTCCTGCCTCAGCCTTCCCACTAGCTGGGATTACAGATGTGTGCCACCCCTCTCGGCCATGCTGTTTTGCCTGACGAACCAACCCTTTTCATGGCATTTTTCTGACCTCCATCACCAATTGCTAATTCTGCTGCGTCCCTTCTAGATCCGTTTCCTAAAGCTATCCCTTAATTACTAATTCCTTTGAACTTCCCCACACCTTCCAGGCTTCTGACCACACCGGATTTTCTAAACCTTTTGGCCAGCAGTTTCCTAGTTTCTTCGACAAATAGCATAGTGTTTGCCCCATGCCCTGTGCTTAGTGTCAGAGATACGGTGGTTAAAACGTGTCACCTCTGTCTCATGTCTCTGTGTGGTGACGGCCAATGTGGACTAGTCCACCCGTAGTGGACGGTTTCTAGTTCCAGGGGTGGAACAGTCGCCTCATTTCCTCCACCCTCCCACCCCTTGCCAATTTCACCCCTTACTAGTCTGTGAGCGCCCAAAGAGCAGGTGTTTCCAAATCACTCGGTCCACACCTGCACAGAGTAAGCACTCAAATTATATATAACATCGAGAGGGACCCTGTGCCAGGTGTGGAATCTCTAAAAGGCAAGAAGCTCTCCCAGGACGAAGTTTATGCGACACTGAACAGATGACTGAATTTCATTCTAGAAGCGCGACTCAACGAATTAAGGGACGGTGATGGGGTGGGTGGATGGCTGCAGAACTGTAGGGCTGGCGGAGGGCGGCTGTACCTCCGCGGCCGGGCCCGTAGGGCGCTGGCCTCTCGGCCCAGGATGAAGCAGGCTCGGGCCTCGAGCAGCAGGGGACGGCAGTCACCGCAGGCCTGCAGCAGCTCGTCCGCCTCCACCTTCTCCAGGAAGTAGGCTGGTGCCAGCAGGGGCAGGCGCACGTGCTCCAGCAGGCGCCTCAGCTGCCCGCGGCGGGCCGGCGCGTCGTGGCGCACCCAGCGCATGGCCGCTTCGAACACGGCCTCCTCGCGCGCCACGCCCAGCGCAGGGTCGGCCAGCAGCGCCGCCACCTCCTCCGGGGCC